CTTCTGCAGGGCTTGATGATGAGCTGATCATTTGAATCAGGTGTGTTGGAAGAGGGAAACATCTAAAACATGCAGGATTGCGGCCCTCGAGTACCAGGATTGGACACCCCTGGTCTAGCCACTACTCTCATATACCATCACTATGTCAGCATTGTCATTCTGATGATACTCACATTTTACTAAAAGCACCGCAGTCCTGAAATACAGTCGTACAGAAATAATAATTCAGTTAGTGTGATGTCTGATTACTTTACATCAGGCAGCAAGTATTTTTATGCTATAGTTTTATTTAGTTTTGCAACAGAAAGACTCAGTTTTTTTGACAAAGGGATTCTCTTTAAAATGTAAAGAATCTCGTTAATCTACACAACCAGCATTTTCTTTGGAACACAGACGATTTGGGCATTTTGTCAAACCTATTTCCATGTGTACCCTCATTTTTACCCTCATAATTTACTGGCAAATCTTTTCTGTCACAGTAAATAGGTGTAGTGCTGTGCCTTTGTTTTCTGAATTTGAACAAAGCCGGTGGGTAGCAGAGAACATAAGCCTTTGTGTGATGCCCGTTAATTAGGAGGGCCGGCTGATGGGAAGGGGGGTGCGTTATAGGGAAGAGCTCATTAGAACACCGATCTGAGGTTTCTGAACGAGACATGGGTCCACTGATTGGTTCTGATGAGACAAGTTTCAGAAACACTTCCGATCACATTGGGTATTCTCAGGGAAAGCATGCACAGGAGTAATGTTGTTGCCATGACAACAGTAGAGCCCATTCAGACAAAAAAAGGGCGGTTCGGATGCTTTTGGGGTTCTGGTGTGGACACTGGTGACCCAGAATGGCACCATGCCACACATTCCTGGTGACAGGACTGGCCAGTCAATGGTGGCGTGAGGAGTTTGCTCTCTCTGCGTTGTTTCTCATTACTACCTACGCATAAACAGCCATGTGAGAGCAACTATTAGATAGTTGAATGTTGGGAATTGGATCTGTTTAACTTTCTAAGCTTCTTGTATTTTTTATTTTAGAGACAAGCACAGGGAGTTGGATACGTGCTGTGTCACTGGCTATATGATTGCTGTGCGTGTTAATCATTTATGTTTATAGCTGCAGGCGGATAATCACCACGAGAAAAAGCCAAAGGTCTCACCCAGACCATCAGTGACAAGGAAGCCCTCTGTGATCGTCGTCTGGTAAGTCTGCTGAATTTCCTGGATTAGATTTACTATTTTTAAAGTGTTAATGTATTTCTTTTTGTTGTAGTACAGCCTGGTAACTATTATACAAAGGACAACTGTGAATCCTCTCAGTATATGTGTATTCAATTGTGGTGATATCGAACAGATGGGAAATAAATGTACCATTGTCTTCAAGCTTGTGTGGCAAAATGCCTTGTGTTGTGTAACTGTTATAGAAATGATAGCCCGCGCTTATCGAGTAAAACCGATCAATTGTAAAAGCACTGTGAATGTGATTAATCCTGTGAGGATACAGTATTGCAAACGACTTTATTCCCATATTTATTTAAGGTGTTTTTTTATACTTACCGCAATAATGGTTACGAGTGCCAGTGTAAAATGACCTTTATCATTCATACAAGATTCATTTCTATAAACTCTGGGTTCCTTCAGTTCTTAAAGAAGACTATTCCCAAGATAAGGCTTAAATAAAAAATGTCATTTGGGACCAAGTGATGTCTCTAAAACCAGACTATAAATTTGCCAAACTGATTTCGGCCTAAAATTTAATTGTTTTTACTTCTTTGATCTATTTATTGGAAAGTTACTAACCATAATATGCAGGTGTGAAAGGGGCTTTTAAGGGCAATTAATGATGTCGCAAATGTCCTTATAGTCGTGATTAAAACACGATGTGAGCATATTTTCCACTTGAACATAATCTGATATAAGATTCCACTGCTTCCTCTACAGTGTGCCTCTAACTTTATCAGCCTCAAGGAGACACTCCACACAGCTGCTCTGTTTTTCTCTGTAAACGAAACTTTCCAGTTGTTTTCGCCCCCTGCCTTGCTCTTACTGGTTTGGGTGTGGCCAAAAGTGCAATTTCCTGTTAAATTTCAACCTACAGAGCCAGGGCAAGAGCTGTTTTCGTCCTTGTATAATTCATTCTGTTATGAAACTGAATATACAATTTAATAACGTTAAATAATGGTGGTGTTCTACCAAGAGAAGCTACAGCTTTTTCCGTCGTTTGCATTGGCCTCTGATGCACTTTGTGTTCAGTGCCAGTTAACAGTTTTTTGGAGCTTCCTTGCTTGATAGTTGACTTCAACAATTTATCAATTAGTACAATAGCTGCCATTTATGTTACTTAGCTGATAATCTTTTTTTTCTTCTCTTTTCTCTTTTCTTTGATTTGCAGACATGGGAGGGATCACAAGACATATAATACTGTTGTGCCTTATCAGCTTAACCAATGGTGCGTATTCACTTGATTTTACTGTACTGTTTTCAAGGTTTCTTTACATGTTAATTAACATTCAAATAATCTGTTTTTTTAAATTTTTTTTACAGCAAATACCAGTCCTGTAATCACACCCCAGGTTCCTACTGTGTGTGAGGACACCCCCCCAAGTATGTATTTGTTTGTGACATATTGAGTACAGTTTCACATTTGTGGTATGATGTCAACATTTAAAATTCTGCACACGTTTTAAATGTTACATCGCTGTTATTGTTTTTGTAGATACCCCCGTCTTCACTATACAAGCAACAGATGATGATGGTGACAAACTGACTTTTTCACTCACTGAGCCCAATGCTGCCTTTTTCTCAGTTGACCCAGCTACTGGGGTCGTATCAGTCCAACAAAAACTAGACAGAGAGGTATGACGTGGTGGAAGTAGAGACCTTTGAGCTGTATTCTACTTCATTTTGACTAAGCAGGCATGTGTTTCATCGTTTTGTCTCTTCTAGACTAAGAATGTAATTCAACTTGGAATTCTTGTCTCGGATGGTGTCAATGAGGTAAGTGACATTTAGGTTTGTATTAGAAATATAAAGTTTTTTTTTTCTTTACTCATAGAGTGCTTCATATCTTTCAGACACCAAATCTCATGACTATAATATTAGGCGATGCCAATGACAACTCCCCCATATTTCAGCAGTCTTCATATGACAAAAGTATTGAAGAAGTAAGTCAAGCATATCTTGTTATTTTTCAGTTTTTCTTCATCTGCATATTGTGTTGTTAGCATACACAGCATAATGTCAATTTAACCATGCAAGTCTCTGTGGCAGAAAAGCATTCATTTGCCAATACCTTCTGTGAACGTGAGCTCACCTAGTTGTCTGAATTTCTTTTTTTCCTTTGCTTTAATACCCATCCACTTCCCCAGAATGCTGCTGTTGGTACATCTCTGCTCAGGGTGACTGCCACAGATGCTGACACCGCAGCTGCTGGCGTTATTACGTACAGCATTGCTGCAGTAAGCTTCCTTTGTAAATCATATTATTCAATGATATTATATTCTGATGTTCCATAAACTGCAAAGCCTCATGTACACTGTTTTTCTAGGTAACTCCAAATTTTGGAACTAACCCGTTTGCCATTATGAGCACAACTGGGGAAATCAGATTAAGTGAACGTCTTAACCACTTGCTGGTCTCTTACTACCGACTGCAGATTGTTGCAACTGTAAGTACAGTGCTTAAAGCTCTCTAATATAATGCTTTCTTATGGTGCTGTTAATAACTGAGAAGAAGTGCAAGCAGGGTTAAAGCATCCCTTAAAACTTAAAGCTGCCTTTTTGTGCTCTTATGTAAACTTTAGCCTGACTAGTGTTTACATCTGTTTGCTGCTCTCCTGGGCTTATTTTTCTGTTTCTGTTTTCAGACAACTGAATGAGTAGGAAAATCTAACTGAAAATATGGCCTTTTAAGACTGCATGGCAATCAGCAGCTAGTTGAGAGCCGTTTCCAAACTGCTGCGCTGCACCACTAAAGTACTGATTTTGTAACCATAACTCACCATAAGCTACAATCAGTGGCTGAATCAGCTGCATTCAAACCTACAGACACTTAAACAGCCTGTTCAGAACAGGGCTAAGACTGGGGGATACACAGTCATGGTGGAGTGAACCATTGTTGTGGTATTCCGAGCTTAAGGACTGACAGAAACATTCTAGGAATACATGAGATGTTTTTTGCTAAAAAAAAAAAACACAGAGCACGATATTGGGCCTTTAATATAATCGTCTGCCTCCTTAAATCAGAACACTTCAGAGCACTGTTGGAATCTTGTGACATTCTTACTTTCTTGCTGAAATCACTTTCACGTCTGTGCGTTAAACATAAAGCTACTTATAACAGTCTCCAAACATTTAGCAATTTGGACAACAGCGAAACATCTACAGCAGATTCTAGGAGGTCACTTGCTTTCGGCAACGCATTGTTTTTTTTTTTTTTCAGTAGGTTGGAGAGAGGCTATTTGTTAGATTTAGATTTTTGATCTGTTTCACCAGAACCAGGCTAGCTCTTTCCCTCTGCTTTCAGTCTTTATGTTTACCTTGATGTGGTTGCAGCGTCACACCAAACAGATAGATATATAAGTGTTGTATATAGATTTTCTTATCTAACCCATGACAAGAAATGAAAAGTAAAACATTTTTTTAAAAATCGTAAAATGTGGCAACATTCCTTTTTATGGTGCAGTTGCCTTTAATAAACTTACATTTATTTTTAAATCATCTTACTAAAACTAATTATTTCACTTTGAGCTGTTATACATTGATTTATTTTCACCATATCATGAAAAGTATGAACGGTACAAAATTAGGGGGACTCTGTTCCTTTGTGATTGTAAGACAAACAATCAAACCAATAGTGTGCAGTCATTTTCAAATGTACTTTGATTTTAAATATTAATGACTGTCATTGATTGTTTCGATATTGTTATAAAGTGTTTTTTCCTCCATTTATCTATATGCATTGCTTTTTGGTGCTTTGTGACTGGACACTGCAGTCAAACTGTTGAATCAACTTATTGCATTTTACCCACTGTCTCTTTACATTTAATTTAATTTGAATTTTAAAATGCCTGTTGATTGATCTGAATCTGTTATTGAGTAAAATATCTTTAGTCCATCCATCCATTATCTATACACCGCTTAATCCTCACTAGGGTCGCGGGGGCTGGGGTATATCTTTAGTATTCAATAATAATCAATCACTAGCAGTCTATAATTAATATTATGACGGTAAAACCCTAAACGATGCTGTGTATCTTGTTACAGGATGGTGGAGGCAAATGTCATTTTGCTGAAACAAATGTCCACTCCAGCACTACATTTGCCTTCATTACGGTTCAGGACATGCCAGACCTCGACCCACAGTTCCTCGCCCTTCCCTACATAGGGAGCGTTGACGAGAATTCACCTGTGGTGAGTGCTGATAGATTTTCTTTTTTGTGTCGCTAAACTCAGTGCACTATGTGAGCCAGTGTAGTCAGCCACTCAGTTAGTAAGAAATATGGTCATTTAGTGTGACAGCTAACCTGGGATATCATGCAAATCTCCAGGCAGTGACCCTGCTCTGAGTTACCATTTTGTTTATGTGAAAGTAAGTAAGAAGACATTTAAATGCTTTTGAGTTTACTAGTTGTTTTTTTTTTCCTTTGGCAGGGCCAGTCTGTGTTACAAGTGTCTGCCGTGGACGGGGACACAGGAATCAATGATGTTGTAACCTATAGCATTCAAGGTGGGCTGAAGGAACTCATGTTAGAACCCTTTTTGGTTTTCTGTGAGCAAGTTGATTCAAATCTTACTTTATTTTTCAATTTGTTTGACAGATTCTACACCCGATGGCCTGTTTGCAATCTCACCTAATGATGGCACCATATCTATACTGTCAAACATCGACAGAGAAGTTGTTGGTGATAGTGTGACTCTGACTGTAAAGGTACAGTATATTCTGGCATCAGTTTCCTTCTCCTTGTGTAATTACGCACTGCCTGACTTTGTATAATCTTGTATCTTAGAATAACACTGTTGTCTATTGTGTGTGATGTTGGGTATGAGCTTAATTTGCTGAAAAAGGGCAACAATATGAAACCTTAGAACATTCAAAGCAGTAATTTGACATTTTGGGAAATCCTTGCTGTCTTGCTGAGAATTAGATCAAGGTGATTACATTTACCTCTGTGTGCTAAGCATGAAGCTACTACTGCCGGTTAACTTCGCTTAGCAGTTTGGTTTTGTATGAAATAATATATTCCATGTTAGTGAGCTTCGGAGAGGATGATTGGCAGATTTTGTTACCTTTGTACAGCTATCTGTTCAACTACAACCAAGCCAACTTTTCTGAGGCTTGTATCTGAAACAGGAACACTGATACCACTCTGCAATATCTGAATACCAGATAAGAAGCAGGATCGAGCAGCTTCGAATAAGCTAGCCCGCCCCCTGATCGAGGCTCTGGTTGCCTGACAACCTGACAGCACACAACTTGTTTTGACAATTGAAATCAATGAAATATAACATGATAATAAGGTAGCTACGGAGATGCTTGGAGGCTAATCTTCTTATCTTATCTGTAGCAATAAAAATGGGCAAAATTTAGCTTTTATTGAGCCTCTCAGTGTTCTTTGAGCCCAATGATTTCCAAACAGCATATCAAGCAAAGCTAAAGTTAATCCATCAACAGTTACGTTTTGCATTAAAAGGAAGTTGGACAGTAGAAGCAGTGCTATTTCAAGGGCATGTTTTAGTCGCCTTAAAGAACACATTCAAGAAACAGATGGAAAGGATGAGCACAGGATCATTGGATAGAGAGCGTAAGATGTCGTAGTGGAACCCAGGGAGTGAGGTTTCAGTGTTGTGCTGACTCTCATTTTCACTGTGATCATGTAGCGAGACAGTTTTTGTTACAAGTAAACAAAACTCTGCTGTGGTACGTAGGCGATAAGACAACCTAACAAGGTGTAATGTGTAGTATATATGACACAGATGTACCCAAAGTTTGAGACAACCTTGCATTTAACAAAGAAGTTTACAATTGCTGAGAATATTTACTTCTGACAATTGAGTTGAGACGGTAAAATGAGTCTATTCTGATTTATTTTAGGCCACTGAGTCCAAACCAAACATCAACGGGATCCTTGCCAGCGCCACAGCAACAGTAGTGATCAACATCGTTGACCAGAATGACAACAAGCCTTTGTTTTACAAGTGTGCCGACGAGCTCTCCTGTGTGCTCGCAACTGACTTCACCGGAGAGGTCGATGAGCACTTTCTGGGGTCTATTCCTCTCAACATGATGGTCAAAGATCTGGATAGGGTAAGACAAGAAAGGACGTTCATCAACTAAAAGATGATGTTTTTCCGTAATGCATGTTTAATAGGTGACAAGCTCACATTAGCGTGAATTGTTGCTCCGGGATTTTACAGTTTTTCAAGACTGAACTAGTCTTGGAGGGAGCCGACGCGGATGTGTTTTCTGTGGCGCCTTCATTCACTGAGTCAGAAACCACTGTTCAGCTCGGGGTCCGGGAGCCTCAAAGACTGGATTTTGAAAAAACACAGCAAATGATTCTACAGGTAAAAGAAAAAAAAATTGTGTATTAGAGACAGCATTCATTTTTTCTTATCACATTAGTGATTTTTGAAGCTCTTTACCATTCTGATGTGCTTCCCTTGCTTGTGTCACGGTGCAGGTGAAGGCTTTCGATCAAGAAGACACCAACTTCCACTCCACTGCCACTGTTACTATTAACATAAGGGACACCAACGACAACAGTCCCAAGTTCCAAGAGGGCACATATAAGTTGCAGGTGGCTGAACACTCTGCTGTTGGGACAAAAGTGGCCACAATTACCGTAAGTCCTTAACAATCAGATGGTTTGAGCTCGCATGTAAGAATGTCTTACAAGGTACTCAGGGGAGTACGCTTTATTTTTCCCCAGGCAGAGGATCCTGACACCATGGATCAAGGCCGCATCACCTACAAACTTCTTCCAGACAGCATGTATGTCTCCACTTAAATCAGACTGCAGTTATTCTGTCTTTCTGAACGCAGCCTCTGTCTACCTTTTGCACACATCGGCACTGAACTGAACATCTGCACCTGTGTTTCAGACTGCAGTACTTTGACGTGAACTCGACTACCGGAGAAGTTTACGTGGTAAGCGACGTTCTGTTGGATCGCGAGGTCAGATCTCAGTTTTCAGCCACTCTGGAGGCCAGAGACGCGGACGACAAGCCCGGCACCACAATGCTGGAGATCACTGTGACTGACATCAATGATCAGGCCCCGGTCATCAACAGAGATTCTTACCTGGAGTTTGTTAAAGAGGGTGGAAACCTTGAAGTTCAGATACAGGTAAGTGTGAGAGAGCAGTAAGAGAACAATAAGTATTTCATTATTATTCACTGGGATTCAGTGACGTTAGTGCGACTTCTATGTAAAAAGCCATTTTTACATTCACTGAAAGATGCAAACAAGTTTAATGTTGGGGAAAAAAAAGGAAAAATGCTTTGAATTTGTGTCTTTGCTTTTAGGCTATTGAAGGGATTTTTCTTTTTTAAGTACATATGGTGGTATTAGTGTTTCCAAAGTTCGGGCAACAGCTCGGGTTTTAAAATGTCCTCTTTTCATATGAAGAGTCAGGCCGTTAAAGCTGAATATTAGTGCCCATAGTTTTGGAACTGAATGTTTGACCGTCACATATTTTTTTCCCAGATTTTCCACATACTTATTTGCAACATCATGCAAAAAAAAGGTTATGTTTTAACGCTTTTTTCATGTTCCTCCTATGGACAGGCTACTGATGGAGACGACCCCGATACAGAAAACAGCCAAATTGTGTTCGCGATCAAGCCGAGCGAGTACAGTTATTTGTTCACAATAGATCCTGACACTGGGGTGTTAACAAATACTGGTGAGCTGGATCTTGAGGCCCTGGATCCAAGGCTGAACGGGAGGATCGAACTCATCGTAACGGCCACTGACAAGGGTGTACCCCCACTGTCCTCCTCCACCACCGTTATCATCAGTGTCGAAGTAGGTTTTTGGCAAATTAGTTGTACCGTGTTGCAACCACTGGTGAGAATTATAACCGCTAATGTTATCTTTTTACACATCCCAGGATGTCAATGACAACAAACCAGAATTTACGTCAACATCTTACAATTTCACTGTGAGAGAAGGAGAAAAAGGCAAGTACTTCACTTTACAAAGCTCCCAACTGTGTTCATAGCTGCGTGTCAGGGTTTTAATCTACTTCTTTCATTCAATTAGGTGCATTCGTGGGTTCCATTTATGCTGTGGATTTGGATCAGACAGTAGACTTCAACCGCATTTCTTTCAGCATCATCAATGGAAGTTTTGGCAGCTTCATCATCCGAACCGCTGCAGAACCAGCGGGTTACAGGGGAGACATCACAGTGGACCCGGACAGCGAGCTGGACTACGAGAGCGATCGCAACCAGTTCAGAATGTGGGTGGAGGCAGCAGATCTGGAGCAGGAGACAGCTCTGGTGTTGGTGGAAGTGGACGTGTTGGACGTGAACGATGAGAGGCCCGAGTTCAAACCGGCGTCGCCTGTGACAGTGGAGGAGAACACCGACACCAGCGACGCCGTGGGGAAATTCACAGCAACTGACAAAGACGGCAACCATTCCCTGGTCTTCGAACTGGTGTCCATCAAATGCAGGTGTAATGACTCCATGACACCCTGCGACTGGTTCATCCTCGATTCAACGGGCGATATTAGAGTCAACCCAGAGGAGACAGTGGATTACGAGGAATGCGACCAGGCGGAGGTGGAGGCTCAGGTGGTGGATGAGTACACAGAGAAGGGCGAGAACAACAGCCTCACAACAGGTCAGAACTGGGTTTTGTTTTTTTTGGCACTGAGTAAAAGCGGTAAAAGCATTAAAAATGACTAAGTGTGTTTTACTTTTTTTTTTTGGCTTATATCAGGGAAAATTGTGATCAACATTGCTGACGTCAACGACAACGCTCCAGAATTCCTTCCCACAGATTCTGTATTTGGTGAGTGCATTTCTGAAAATAAATCTTAATGTTTATCTGTTTGCATATGACCAAAGACTTTTTCTTATTTTATTTGAATATTTTTTTTGTTAAGCAAATATCATTTGTCTATGTAGATACATTATTTTTCTGCTGCTTTTAGCTGTATGAAGAGAGTTTGCTGATGGATGTGCTCACGTGAATTCAGTAGCTGTTTTGATTATATAAAAGTACTGTCAGTTTTGAGACAAGTTTGAGAAAGTAATACTATTACTGTTGCTTTAGTATCTAAAAGGAGCAAAAAATTCATTATGAATTAAAAACCTAAAATGATACATTATTATTGTTATTGTTAGTTTATTAAATTCTAAAGCAAAGTATAGGAGCAACATGTAATTTATACATAAAAACTAAACAAAATGAATATTAAAATTATTATAAAATTGCCAGTTTAAAGAGCAGATATAAGAAATGGCTGAAGCAACAACTTACAATCATCTTGCAACTGCTTGCCTATGTGGAGATAAGAAAACATGCTCTGCTGAAGACGGCATCTAAATCAATAAAGTTTTTTTTTCTTCTTCTTTTGAACAAGTGCAAAAATGACAAATATTCAAATCAGGCTCAGAATTTTGCCATTTTTATCACCATGTCAGTGAATCAAAGTTGGTGTGTCACTCTGTAATTGATCTTCTTTGTACTTTAGTTGTGGTGGCAGAAAGTACAACCAACGCGAGACCGGTTGGGAGAGTCACTGTAAGTATGAATGAAAAGTAAATAACTGACATGAATTCAGCCTTGTTAACGCAAAATGTGACACGATGTCATCTCTCGCTGCTTTCAGGCTACAGATCTGGACTCTGGCGTAAACAGGGAGATTGTGTTTCGTGTAGATGAAGTCCGATTTCAAGACACAAACAGTGAGACTCCCAATGAACCTATCCCAGATCTACCGTTTGATGTCGTCACCTCACAGGACGGTGACGTTTATATTGGGACGATTCAGTGAGTACAATGTCATCTCTTACAGTCGTATCTCATTTTGTCATTTTGTGCTGTTTACTGTTGAACTCATAGATTTCTGCTTGACAAAGAGACGCAAAACAATCATAAAGACAGTCATAATGAATAGAATGAGACGCAACATGGATTTGTTGTATATGGTTGTAGTATCAAAACTTTCTAAATTAGTCATAATAATAATAAAATCATTATTACGACAGTGGGATGTGGTCGGAATAGTTTTATTAGTTAGGCTGCGTTTTGCAGTTTATAACAGTGTAGGGTATATCAGCTATGTTATTACTTTAGGTAGGTTATTATTCTTAATTCATAACACGACAGGGTGTCTGCCTTAATATGTATTGTTGGCGGATAAAGTGGTATTTTATATACTTTTTTAAAACTCTCTAATATTTAAGTTTCTCAGGTAAAATTTCACCATAAATAAAACAATAGGACACTCTCAGAATAGCAGTCATCACATTTAGGCTGTAAATGTGCCGTATGACTAGACTTAACTGTTTTATCTTGTTCATCTCACATGTTAGGAATGTTTGTGAAAATTTGTGTAATTCTACATTTGTTTTAAAGCACAGAAACACTTTGCAGCTGAGCGTTACACTAATAAAGGTGTTATTATTTTTTATTACTATTTGTCTCTTTCAGTTGAGGTGTTTTCAGCAAAATGTAGCCGAGGTCTATGCATGTCAGCACCCAGGGGCTCGCTGACACAATCCGTTCATTGCTGCACTCGTAATTTCTTCATCTTTCCGCAGAACTTCCAAGCCGCTTGAGGTGACGGTGAAAGGGAAGTATTTGGTCAGGGTAAATGCAACTGATAGCGGGGGGCTCTGGGCCAGCACCGTCCTGGAGGTGAGTGACTGAAGGTACTACGAAGTTACTTTCACTTTCCTGTCTTGGTTGTAAACACCAGATAGGCGACCAAAACAGCAGCCTGTGTTTTATGCTTCTGTTGGCTTTTATATTGCAGATTTTCAATATTGACGAATCCTACAAAGTTGAACTTGAATTTAGGATTACTGCTGAAGACGTTCGGGAAAAGGAAGATGAAATCATCAGGTGCGTTTTAAATTATTTTTTTTTTTGCATTCAGTAATTCATTTCAGTCCCGTTTGTATTCAGTTGCAGAGCATTTTCTAGTTTTCATTTTAACAACGCTTGACTGTATTGCTTTTCAGAGCGCTTAGTGCTGCCACCTTGTCTGCTGTTCAAATTATATCAATAGAACCAATCAGTGATGAAGCAACCAGGCAAGTTACTTTTCACATTACCTCTACCTTCACCTTACATCAAAATATGTTATGTGAATACAGATCATAAATCACTGGCTGTTGTAAAGAAAAACCTCACAATAAATCTTCAATCTTTAATTTTTTATACACTGTGCTCACTAGGTGGTGCCAGTGCACCTGCAAACTAAATGATGTTGTTGAGATTACATTCTTTGATTGTAAAAGTAAATGATGATTGCAGAAAAACGTATTTTATTTGACATTTCTATTTGTTAAACTTGTCAGTTTAGGTCCATTGTTTTAAATGTTTTGATTTCCTCTCTCAGGGCTTCAGACAGAGCCATCATGGTGGCATATTTTGTCTACACCAACGGGACAGCTCTTACTTCTGATGAAGTGGAAATCAAGCTGTCTGATCCTCAATATTTTCCTACACTGGGCTCACTTGGCCTTGATAACATTGTAAGTAGCAGCAGTTTTAGAGTTATATCGTCTGTCATAATGTAATGTCACGTTTCCCATTTTTCCTGTAAAAGTGGTGAACACAACAAACAACAACAATAACAGCAAAAAACAACAGCACATGTGTACTATGCAACAGACAATATAAAAACTGGACTGTCTTTTCGTTTTGTATTACTTAAATATGAAAAGTTAAGTTTGTTATTTATTTAAGAGAATTTATGCACTTCGGATTTTTGTCACTTTTTATCTGAGTGTAATTAAGTCTTAAAGATCTACAGAGAACAATGTGCTAAACTCAGATTTCTTTCTTCTGTTTCAGGGTGGGGTTGTAATAAATGAGCCAGTGGTAGACACGTTGAGATACATCTTGCTTGGGGTGGTGGGAGGTCTCGTCATCGTGCTGGCTGTCCTCACCACTTCACTGATGTGCACTCGCAGAACGTAAAGAAAAGGAAAATTTGGAACACAGATAGGAGTGAGTGAGTTAACTGGTCTGTTCACTAATCAACTCATGTCACACTTGCAGGTACAAGACGAAGCTGAAGGCAGCTAAAGCCATGAACTCTGCGTCGATGGTGACTTCTAACAACCAGATAAGTGGTCCAGTGGTACCTGGAACCAACAAGTACACCATGGAGGGGTGAGAAGACAAGAGCATGAACACAGTGAATGAATGAATACAACATGGAGTTCATTACTTTGACTGTGTTTCTCTTCTTTCTGTGTTTCAGTGCGAATCCTGTACTCAACCTCAACATCGACACAACCTTGAGCCTGGACATAGATCAGGAGAGCTCAGACGTGGACAAAGTCAGGTAAAGAAAACCTCTCTGTGACTGTCCTCACCATCTACACTATCACGCTGATACACAAGCTCCACTCTCTCCACGTAACCTTTGCTCCAATCAAAAGCCTAATTTGAGAAAAAATATCTTTCTGAAATAATTACCTTGGCACATGGAGATGACTTATCATTTTTTTCCCCTCTTCTCCACCAAAGCCTCGACTCTCTAGACAACAGCTATGAAATGGAAACTTCTGAAATGGACACAAAACATAACATGGTGAGTTCACATGTTGAAATCCATCTTCACTTGTACTAATGAAAATTAGAATTTGATCTCATGTCAGAACTTGTCTGCTTTACTTCAGCATATGATCGAAGAGGAGGAAGAGGATGATCAGCTACCTGAGTACATTGAGCCTCTGGGTGCAGCGCTGGCCCAACGAAACCCAAAGACAAACTCCAGCAGATATAATGGGGGGTTTACAAACCATGCATTCAACACTACAGACCTGTGATGTAAATAATGAAAGGAGTAACACAGACCAGAGGCCCCAGATGGACAAATGTTCCCTGTAATTGGGCCAAACCAAATCAAACATACAGTATTTACAGAGCTGGATGGAGGCCTTGTCTTCGAGTAGCCTTCTGTTGGGACCAATAGTAATGTGTTATTGATATTCAGCTATGCGTGATGCACAAGGTTCATGGCTCCCTAAATGATGAATAACTTTATCTAAAAATGTCAAGAAAAAAAAAACAAAATGGGAGGGATTATTCCACAAAGTAGCATGGAATTTATTTTGTTTGTAGAATCAAGTGCTTTTTTGTTTCAGTTAAAAGAATAGTTCTGTTCTTCAATCCATACAGAAACAGAACAGTGCCTGAATAGAAGCTTCTCCCTGCTTCCAGTCTTTAAACTAAGTTAACTGCCTGTTCACTGTGGCCTCATATTTAGCATTCAGGTGTGCCAATCATCTAATGCTTGGCAAGAAAAGAAGATGTATTTATGTAATTCTTTCCTCTGTGTAGAGACAGCTTTAATTCAGACAATAAAAAAAAAAATCGAACAGAAGCAGAGAGAATGTTTGTTGCACATGTGAATCACTTTATTTTTGTTAATATGTTAAGCAATGGTTGAAAAACTGTTTGGTTTGCTTTGAAATAAACTGTATTGTAAGTTATGTTGACACACAAAGGTAATTTTTTTGTCGCAGAGGATGCTTCAAGAAAGAAAATCAAAAAAAAATAAAGAGAGAAAAAGACGAGAATATTGCATAATGTCAGTATATGAAAGTGATCCTTATTTATGACTGCCTGTCAGCCAACATCTTATGCATGTCTGATCGGTCAGTGTTTGTTTAGAGTTTGACACACTTGTTGCTGAAATAAAACCTCATGCAAAGTGTTTGTGACTTCCTACAAGCAGGAGATTGAAAGGATAGTTTCGTTGTTTACTGACAATCAAATGAATGTATCACAAGTGCAATCTGTGAATAAAATTATTTCCTTCAAATGTGGATTTGATCCCACGTTTATGAGGTTAATGTATGAACACCAACGTCACTGACACTGCAAACAACCTCAGAAGTAAAAGCACATTTAAATTAATTTTCATCACAAAGTTGTACAACTGAATCACTTATCATGGCAATAAAATACAATAAGTGGTAAGGACTAAAAATACCCTGATAGCAGGTGTCGATACTTTTCTCAAAAGATGATTGTGCTCGTCGTCAGTACGTTTTTTTTTTTTTTTTTTATACTTTTCACATTACAAACAAGTCAAAACACTAACAAATTTAAAAGCAGAACATACAAAAGCCTGCATTAATGGTAGAGACGCCTCCTACACACGGATCAAGGCAACATTTAGATTAAAATTTACCTCCACAAGGTCAAAAAGCACTCTCGAAAAATGTCACTCCACTTTCATTACACTCTTTCAAAGATGTGTTAAGCTTGTCAGCAGCCAGGAGAAAGAAAGCTGGTTGCCATGGCTTCGTATTATCTGAGGTGTATAAAAAAAAAAAGGAAAAAAAAAAGCATCAACCAACCGCTAAAAATGACTCACTGGACAACTGAATGGTCTGAGAGAAAAAACATTAAAGGAGAAGAGCTGAGCTAACAATGACACTGATGTATCGCTCTCATTTTCCCAAACATGGAGTCCATTGTTCTGTGCAGAGAGACGTCACAGCCAATAAGTGAAAAAGAAAGATCAAGAAAAAGAAAGACTCCAAAGAAGATTCTATTGTATGGCTCAGCGATTAATGCTTCATGGTAGAAACTGAGTAGGAAATGCTTTTGTGCTTGTTCGTCTTGTGCGAGGAGATGCTTTGTCTCTCACACTTTCAAGACAATATCACGTTGAAGTGAATCACTGAATGCACTGTGTGTCACAGCTGCATGTTTCAGATGCCATGTGATTTTTTCCAAACACAGGTTTTGTCCTCCAGCCGGCTGTTGACGTCTCCCCGTCACTCAGTGGTGTGAGCTCTGGAGCAACAGTGCGGCTGCTGCATGTTCTCCATCAGCTGGCGGAAGGGGTTTCTTCTGCGTCGGCTCACTTTGCCGTTCTGCTCCCCTCTCTTCCCGGCCCGGCCCTTCCCTGACCCCGAGCCGCCCTGGGCCGACTCGAGGGGCGTGGCCGTGGGGTTGAGCGGAGGAGGGGGAGGCAGGGTGGACTGCCTCTTTTGCTTCTTCACCTGTTTCTCCAGGTGTTTCTGGATGGCGGAGCCCAACACGGCTACTTCCACCACGGCTCCGTACACCTCCCACGTCATGCCTTTCTCGTCCCAGCTCACCTCCTGCACCGGCTCCTCGCATTTCTCCTCACCTTTCTCCTTACAATTTATTGCCTCCTTTTTGTCCTCTTCGGCTGCTTCCGCCTCTTCCTCCTCAGTGACTTTCTCCTCCTCTTTGTCCTCCACCACCTGCTCCTTTGCATCTTCCTCCTCCTCTTCCTCCTCCTCCTCCTCCACTATCTTCTCCTCTATGCTGGCCTCTTTCCTGACCTCAGGAAAAGTCATGGTGGTGGGCGTTCTCGGTGTCATGGGCGCCGTTGCAACAGAGCGAAACTCCACCTGACGGCCCACCTGCAGCTCGGCATCTTTGGTCTCTGTGCCCGCAGTCGCACATTTTCCGATGGAGCTGGGGAAGCAGAAGGCTTGGTCCCCCTCAGGAGGGGTCATGGGGCTGGTAGCTGCAGACTGACACTGCACCACCTCCAGGCTCACCTGAGTGCGGATGTTGTGGCAGCCGAAGGGAGCCGGTGATTCGGGGACGGGAGGTTTTGTCACAGAAACGTCTCTCAGCTCTTCACGTGCGTCGTCCTTCTCTTTAATCTGTGACGTTCCTGATTCCATGCACATTTTTGGTTCTTCTGTTTGGTTTGTGTTTGAATTGTCCGGTGCAGAGATCTTTACGTTTTCATCCTCCCCCTTTACATCACTGCAGTTCTCTCCAGCTTCCTCATATTCATCTATTTTAACCATCTCCGGTTCAATGGAACAAGACGATGACTCAACTCTATCTTCATCTTCCTCCTCACTGTTGCCGTGGTGGGTCACCAAGATTGTAATATCTTGATCCATACTTCCCATCCTCTGCTGCTTACAGTGCTGATTACTATCCTCCAGAGTAACTTGTGAATCTATTAACCCAGCAGCCAGGCAGTTGGTGGAGGTCTCTGGAGACGCATTTGAGCTGAAGTCTTCACTCAGCTCCTTTGATGCGGTTAGTTTCAAAGCTTCACTTGTTTCTGCTTCTGCTGGACTTTTTGTTGCAGGGAAACTATCTTGTTGGCCGCTCTCCCTCTGCTCCTCACTCTTTTTCGCTTTCCCCTCCTTCTGCACCGTCTCTCTTCCGATGAGCTCTGGGAACGCCGTGGTCGATGGCGTCTTCGGGGTCATGGGGGACGTGGCAACAGAGCAGAACTCCACTTGCTGGCCCACCTGCAGCTCTGCGTCTTTAGTGTCGCTACCTACGGATCCGGATTTCCCAAAAGAACTTGGGAAGAAGAAGGAGTGGTCGCCCTCGGGAGGGGTCATGGGGCTGGTGGCTGCAGAGTGGCACTGGACCACCTCCAGGCTCACCTGAGTGCGCATGTGGTGCTGCCCAAAAGGGGCTGGGGAGCGTAGGTCGGTGGGATCTGGAGTCGACGGCACAGGAACCAGGATATTCTCAATGTCTGCATCTTTTTCTCCGTCGTGATTCATGGTCTTATCCTCATCGTTTTCCTCCTGAATTTCAGCATCTCCATCTCCATCACTCAGCAGGTTAATAGAGATTGTCGTGTCGGCATGTGTAGCTGTTTTGTCAGCTTCAGGCTGGTGTATCAGAGGCATGACATCAGTCTGTGTAGAGTCTTTAACTTGTTCAGAGTCTGATTGGTCAGCGTTGTCACAATCCTCCCCTGAGAGCGCCGGATCTTTGGATATCTGGTCTTTTTCCTCGACGGAGCTGGCGTTCACGTGTACTTTTGGCTGATAGTCCTCTTGAGTTGTCGACTCTTTACTTGTGCATAGCTGCGTTCCTTCAGGTGCAGCGCTGCTTTCTGAGCCTCCTGCGAGCCCACCGTCATCCGTCTTCTCGCAAGGCTGGTGGTCCTCTCTGAGACCCCTCATCTCGTCTTTAAGACTCCCCATTCTGTCTCCGCATTCAAGTGGTAGAACTACCTGCGGGGCACAGCACAGACACGCTGTTTGTGCAAATGGTAATAAGCAACAAGCCCGAGCATGAGTGGAGGATAAAACAACAGCTTGTTTTTGCGCTAAAAATATTCTGTCCTATGAAATCGATGTCAAGCACTCACATGTAACCACACTGCATCGCTGCTGCTACTTGATAGAAATTGTTTGCATGCTTCGAATGATAAGAAACTAAAACACTCACTTTTATTAAACACTTCATCATACTTCATTTAACATGGTATTTTTTTCCTGTTAAAGTGTTTTCCTGTTTCATAACCTCTCTCGTCTAAAAATACACCAGCATCGCTCACTTTTGAATTCAGTTTTAGCCCATAATCACATAACACCAAAAGCATGCACAGGAATCCAGAGTACTTGTCAAATTATTTCAACTGTAAAGAGAAACAAATAGTAGAAAATCACGAGTTAAAGACATACCTCAGCAGTCTGAGTCAGACTGAAGCCTCTCCACAACTCTCCTTCAGTTTTGGGTCAAACATCACAAATCTCACCATCTATTGAGACCAACATCTGTCCGTACATCTCCCCTGTTGATTGATGCTGATTGCAGTGGCTACAGGTTTGTCTCTAGAAGAATCTATCTCAGGCAATCCTCGCTCTTTAGGCTGTGGCTGTGTCTATTGAAAAGCTTCACATTTCCAGTTTCCCTGGAAACCACGGTCGGGTTCTGGCAGTGAGTGGTAATGTAATGACAAAATCTCTGTTCAGCGCTCTAATCATCGGTAAATCATAGTAATTAGCTTCAGGTTCTCATAGCAACACAATGAGAACTGTGTGCAGAAAGAAAAAAAAAAAACAAAAAAAAAACCCTGTGAACTGGCTTTGCAGGAGAAAATTTTTAGCAATTTGTGATAAAAGCTTCCACGTCACAACAGATGACCAGCGTGAGGTGCTCCTGGAGGTAGGGTGAAGTATGGAGAAGGGGGATTTCTCTTCTTAATAACGAATGACTAGCTTTGAAGTGAGACAGCAATGTGTTTGTCTGTGAAGGCCACATTTGTTGGACCACTCTCAGTGTAATGAAATCAATGAGCAGTCATAGTAAAAAGCGATTTTAAAAAGAAAGAAAACTGTACTGAAAATCATGCTTCGTTTCATGAGGTCTGACGATCACAGAAGCACTACAAGTCCCACAAATTTATGCAAATTCAGCTCTTGCGGAGGAAATATGAGAATTATTTGTAAGAGTGAGCGTTATGCTGCAACAGCACATGAAAGACAACAGGGAATTTCAGCTGAAGGAGCCTGGAGGAAGCAGAGCTGTGCCTCCCACACAAGCAAACACTTGTAAACCTCCGAGTCTCTCATTCCTCTCTCTCCAGCCTCTTTCCTTTGCGACATGCATTTCTCCGGAGCCTCTTTAAAATCTGCTCTCCTCGAGTAACCGTGCGGGACAGGGGATGTTTGTGTTTCTTTCATTTTTTTAAAGAATCTTCCCTGTGTCGGTTTCACGGTGGGCTGCAGCTCGGCCAGAACATTGTGTACTGACAGAAGTATTCTCACCATTAATTCAGTGCCCTCCACCAATCCCAGGCCGCCACTGAGTTCTGTTGCCTAGCAACCACGTAGTGTGATGGAGGGGAGGTGTGCGGCCCAGGACCAAGGTAGACAGCTCTGATCACACTCTCATCAGGAGCCATCAGCCTGCCAAAGGCCATCTTCCCGGCAATGTGTTGGTAATAATGACCGTGGTGATTCATTGATGAGAGCTCTCCGCAGTGTAAAAACAGAACGCATCACAGACACAGTGCTTCCAGATCTACTAACACTGTTATCTCAACTGTATGTGGCAGCATATCACATTCTATGAACCTGAGAAAGAAGTTGGTATTTGTTTATTTCCCATAATAATAACAATCACATGTAATGAAATCTAGAATAAAGCGAGAAACACAAAAGGAAAATTAGTCTAAAAAAAAAGAGACAATTTATAAAGATTTCTTTTGGAATGTTAGCTGTGTAGAGACAAATACTGCATTTGTTTCAGGTTTCTCTGATGCCAACATGCCTCCATCCCAACAATATTCCTTGTCAAAAAAAACTTATAGATGGTCAGTCAAGTCGGCTTCTGCATTTCAGCTACGATTGTTCATTCTTTAGGGATCATTTGGTCTCCATTTTCTGTCCGAACTCCTTGATGGTGTCCGTGGCCTTGTCCGCAGCTTTTCCTATGACTGCTTGAGTCTGCCTGCTGGCTTCTTGAGCAGCTTCAAAAAGTCAGGGTGAAGCAGAAGAGAAGTTTTCAGGGCGTTAAACAACAAATCATCAGAAAAAAAGGTGCATAGAGTTGGATTAAGGCTTTAACTGTCTGTAAAGCTTTACATGCAGTCTTGTGAGTGTAAAATATAAGCTTTTTATGTACAAATTTCTTGCTTCTCCTGGAACAATCTGAGGATTTAGCTCAAAAGTCCACTTTGAAGCAGCTAAATTTGCGTATGTTTTTATTTCTCTTGTGTTTCATGCAGAGTTATACAAGACAAACAAAAGACAGGAGAAGTATTGGTAGTAATTTTAACACTCTAAAACCCCTCCATATTTTGGACAATAACTGTTTTTTGTATTCTGAGGAAGACATGCCCAGATTTTTTGTATAATAAAAAACTGTATTGATTTTTTCCACTAGAGTCCAAAACTCCACTGTTTCACACCTTCCCAACTCGGGGAAAAGATGAGTTTTTAGATTTCATTTGTGATACATTTTATATTTTAAGAATTTAAGGTTTTTTTGGACCATAAAACATTTAATTTGACTGACTGATAACTTGTGTCTGGTCCAGTTTCCTACATGCATTGTAACACCACGACGCTTCAAAGACAGAGGGATGTGCACTTTACCTATGTTGGCCGTTTCTTTGGAGGAGTCTGCCACCTGCTGCACAGCATCCTGAGCTGCCTGCACTGGAGACAAATCACAGGATCTTACAGCACTGACCTTATACAAGTAAATAATCTAAACAGTTGACTTTTTTTTTTTTTTTGGCATTTTCAGACTTTAACTTGCAGTAAAAACTTTTCAAAATAACCTGTAAGATGTCTTAAAGTAGCTCTTTTCCAGAAAAAAAAAAGTCAAAAAGTTTTCCTCTGACTACCAGCAGTTACATTAGCTGTGTCATCGTGCAGCTTTAGGTTTGTACCTGCAGTGTCCGTGACCCCTTTAGCAGCTGTGTGGCTCGTGCCTTTCAGGCCCTCGAAGGACTTCTTGAACGAGGCCATGGCTTCTGTCTTTGTCCCTGCAGCTCCGACGCATCCGTCTGACCCGACAGCGGCGGGAGTGGCTGTTTAATACCCTCTGTTTGAGCCCGACAGCACCGAGCCTGCACGTTCCAGCCGGATTAACCAAAACAAAACCCACCCAAAGAGGCCCGATCAGACTGGCATCCCAAATATGGCAGATTCCCGCCAAGAGCCGGAGCGCGCTCAGCAGATTTTTACTCATCCCGTAATCAAACCGCCAGACAGGAGTGAGCAAAGAGATCAACACGTGAGGATCATGCATAATAGATTTAGACTAACATGCAGAAAAAGAGACAGGGAAGTAGTCACAAAAGTGAGCGCCGACATTATTAAACAACACTAACAAATGGTTTTATTTTTTTACTTTTTATTTACAGAGGATTTGTATGTCTGGCTTAACACATAAACCTTTATATTGACAAGTCCTGCAATTTAAAGCACATATTGATATGACAATTATGATTCCAAGACATAATATATTGACTTTAACTCGTTAAAATCTTCAGTACACACAAACACGCGCACACACAAACATGTATACTGTCCGTTTCTAACAGAGAGTTTACTGGAATGATTCACAAGCAACTATAAAGATACAATGTAAAAAACTCTTACTTCAAAAAACTTTCAAATCAATTTCCAAAGAAATGCAAAAAGAAAAAACCCACAAACAGGCATTGTCGACACTTAAGAGGATATTATTGTATTCATATCTGCTTGCAACCGGTCATATTTATTTTTTCCACTCCCAATGTCTCATTGGAAGATGATGAACATCTATTGCACATTTCTAAATACAGATACACACAAGTACAAAGTCACAAGCCCTGGCTCTGGTCTCATTTCGTTGGGAGGGAATCAAGGAAATGAGACTGAGAGGACAAATCCTACATCTCAATAAATACCTACACCCAACACATTACATTAATAACATGACATTTACAATATATAATAATAAAAGATTTGTCTTGAAGGAAGAACATTTTTCAGTGGGAATGCTTGTCTTTTTGTTGTTTTTTGCAACGGGGATATAATTGTAATAGTTTCAGCATTTGTCCTTTTTATTATTAGAAATATTATTGTGCTGCTGGTTGGATGGTGGCTCGGACTGATGCTTTTACGCTTCTGGCTCGTAGTCCTGGCTCTCCTGGGAAAACAAGAACAGGTTTTGAGAGGCGGGCGGGTCGAACTTGCGGCGCAGAGAAGCTGCAGGTTAAGTTGAACAGAAAGGCTTTAATTAAAACCTAATCGTTTTAAGTTCAACTTTAATCCGTTTAAGAAGAATAAATGACAGAGAGCTTATGGTGGCACATGATAGCGCTCAGCTGAAGGTAATGATGTCACTACATCACAGCTGAGCTCCTCGGCTGCGTCAGTGCGTCTCTCCAGCCTGCAGAGGGCAGCACAAGCCTGCAGCACCGGCTTCAAGGACGTGTCGTGAGCACGTTCCCCCCGTATCCTTGTAACTCTGCACACGCCTCCACCACGAGCATGATGGTGAGAAAAATAGCACAGGCCTCCACTGGTCTTAGGTCATCTAATGTATTCACAGAACCAAGTGTGAAAGTGGACGCAGTGGGTTTTCTTGTCCAGTTCCTCCCTGAGAAGGCTGGAGTTCAGTCTGCAGCGCTCAGACTCCATATTTACAGCAATGCAGGGAGACCCTGACATTACCCACAATGCACGGAGGCGAAGAGCGT